AGTGTGGATAGGTGAGTATAGTGTGAGAGAGGAGAAAATTGTTTGGGACTAAAAATGGATTGGGATAAGCTTTTTTAAGTCAATCTAACTGCTTTATTTGCACGTTTTGTTAAATTTCAATTATATAATATACTAATTTTATATTAAGCTAATATTATAATTTTATTTAAATATAAATATATAATTTTATTTCATTGAAAAAAAATGTATGTATGAATTCCCCAAAAAAATTGTCTTAAAAGCCACTTCCGCCAGCGCTAATCCTTGTGCAATTTGCTTACACTGCGTTCTACTTTTTTTTAAGTACAGTGTCAAGGGGTTGGGGGTAAATGACTTAAAATAATATTTATATACATATATGTTGCTATATATTTCATGTTGTTTTTTGTAATTTAGACAACAAAACTGTTTCAAAACATTAAAATAAAATATATAAAAAACAAAAAGAAACGTCAAGCAGCAGCGGTGCTTGTACCATTAAAATAAACACGATGCATACGTATATATGTATGAACATATATTTGGGAGTATTTCCTATCAGTGTACATGTCTATATATTCTTTTGTAGATATATATGTACATATCTATACCTATAGAAAAGTTTATTTAGAGTGTATGTGATTTTTGCTCCCGAATGTGTTGCTGATAAGATAAGAAAGTTCTACGACATTAATAATAACATTACAAAACAAAAAAAAAGCAATGAAAAAAATAAAAAAAAATAATAATAAAATTTAGTATTTTTACATATTCAACAATATCTAAGAATATATCTTTTTTTATACATCACTGATGAATTTACTTTATATAGATAAAAAGATAAAGTTAATGTTTGAAACAAAAAAAAAATAGTTTCAAGTACATATGTATTATATACATAGAAATTTTTTCTTTTCTTAATTTTATATGTATTTTATTTTAATTTTATTTTTATTTTTAAATTTTATATGTATTTATTTTAATTTTAGTTTTAATTTTTGTATAGGCCGTGTGCGAGTTCGAGTAAATTGACGTAAAGTAAATTGAAATTGCGTAGGGATTTTCTGCACTGCACTTATCTAAATATGTATTTATTTATTGCATTTATTTATTATTTTTCTGTTAAAAGTTTTAAAATTAATTTATTTATTTATTAAACATCTTATTTAATATTTCCCCCAATTTACCATCAATTTACTTGAACTCGCACACGGCCATAGTAATTTTTCTTTCATAATTTTTATTTTTATTATTTTTTATATATGAATTTTTCTTTTATAATTTTCATTTTTATTATATTTTTGTGCGACTTTATTTTATATTAAAATAAATAAATTTTCTTTCATATTAATATTTATTTATGTATTTTTATATTTCATAATAATATTTGAATTTATTTTTTTTAATGCAATTCTACTATATATTGCTTTATAAAATATTCTATTACAATATTTTTTACTCCATTACAGATCCATCTGCATACACTATACAAGATTTGAGTATTGGCAACTCTACTTATGTTTGCAGACGCAATTTACTTGCTCTGTACATTTGCTCTTTATTGATGCGCTCTCTGAGAATCAAAATGCACACGGACACTGTACATGTGAATTGTGCTGAATAAGAATTTTTTAAAAATATTTTTAAAATGTTAAGGAATTTCATAAGTATTTTTCAATCGAAGTTAAGAATTTTGGTTAGAAAATTTATAAAATAAATCATTATAACTAATATTCATTAAATTTTATATAATATATATACACATATATAGATATGTATGTGAGCATTATATTATTTTTAATTAATGTTAATATATAAAAGTTCTATATTTTTTGTTAACAAATAAATAATTTAATTAAAATTAATAATACAAATATTTACAAAATATTATAAAAAAATTTGTTTTTTACTAATCCTAATCTTAACTGAATATATCCCGTTTTTTTCACTGTTTAATATTTTGTTCCAACTGCATCCCAAACTGATAAACATAAATTTTAATGCATGGCACACAAAAATTCCTCTGAAGACGCACACCAACTACAAAATTCAGTTTGCTTTATAATAAATTCTCTTAACACCTATACTAACACAAGAATTTATATGAAAAAGAGCAGAACCTCACCCACACATGCAGTAAAAATTCAAAATATATTTCAAGTACTCAAACAAAAAACTACATTCAACACCGCTCCCCACTAGCTGCTAAGCAAACCCATACAACCAATGTTCATCCGCCACCATAAAGTATCATATTTTGCTTACACATAAACAAGCCAACTTCCAAGCCAATACTTACTAGCACGTAAAATGGAAGCAAGTATCATATTTATTTTATCCAGCATGAATTGGCAACAAATACACCATACTTTTTGGTAACATTCGCCCCAAAAAGTATCATGTTCAACTTGTAGGAAAATATCTGTTGTGAAAAATTTGATAACTTATAGTGCGACGTACCATAAAGTATGAAGATATGTCAAATTTAAAGTACTGTGCAGTTAATTCAAATACTTTTTGGTGGCGTGGAACGGGGATAGAGATCGACGCAGCAAGTATGAAATTTATTTTCATGCTCACTGTGTATGGTAGCAATGGCATACTTACTTGTGCGAGCACTGTAAAGTAGTGCCAGTATTTCAGACAAAATGTTTACTATGGTGCAGTTGTTGTGAGGTAGAGAGGGTTGCAAAATTGCTAGCACTGGTGTACACTTTTCGTATATGTCACACTGGTAAAGCAAGTTAGTATGGCTGGCTATACTTGGCGCGTACAGGGCAAGGCAAAGATTAGTAAGGTTTAAGTTTTTGGATAATGTTGAAGCTTTTATAGATTTTGTTGTGTGCCAAAAAAAGTAATTTTAATAAAAATTATATTTTTTTTAAACAAAATAAATTATTTTTATTTTATTTTATTTTATTTTATTTTATGTTGTTTTATTTCATGAAGAAAGGAAGAGATCATATATGTTTATTTTTTAAGAAAAGAAATTCATGTGTACAATATTTTATATATATATATATATAGTAAAATACTCATATTAAATTTATAATTTTATGATATATGATTAATTATTATGATATACAGACTTTTTATAATTGTTATTAATTTCTAGATATATTATTGATTGTTTATGTGAAATCAAAGGGTTAACTACACAGCCATATTTATCTTTGTTTCGAAAATGAATAGATTGTTCTTAAATTGCAATTGTAATTTATCGAACATGTCATAATAATAATAATATTTATCTTAATATTAACGCTTCTGTGTTCTAATTTCCGCCTTTCTATAATGGTCAACTTTTACAGTTTTAAACTTTAGACGGAGTAGCAATTTGATCTTAAGTAAATGTAAACTTTTCTTTTGGTTGAAAAGAATCTTACACAACATACACAAAACTTATCAAATATGTTATTTAATTCAAAAGATACGGTTTTTTACATTTATTAATTTCATGTCATTTCACCACTTACTTATTTCTTGAGTTCGAAGAAGTCAAAAAATATACAATAAAAAAAATTTTATAAAATTCTTTCTCTTCTTCTTCCATACCTGAATTTTTTTTATAATCAAGAATTTTTATTAGAACAAAAAAATTTTCACTAATTTAGACTTGTCATAATTTTTGTATAATTGTTCACCCCTCATGTGCTTATCTCACTCTCCGCATAAATGAACTTTTCACGCCTCTCATAACGCCTCAACTATTATAGCTATTGTTGTAATATTGCATAAATATTATTGAAATGTTGCTTACACAACTAACCCTGTATTTCGAAGACAAGACCATTCTGTAAGTACGTACGTTGGTGCGCGATATGTTCAAGCTATACTGCTGCTGTGCTGTGCCATGCTGTGTTGTACTAACTTTGTGTGTTGCATTGTGTGTTTGTGGAAATTTAAGCTTCAAGCTATTGTACACTAACTTATACTGACATACAAACATACAAATATTCGCGCTTCCAAACTTACCTAAACTATGTATGTTTGTCTGGGTGTATGTATGCTTATCGTGTAGAACGGCAACGACAACGACAACGACGACGACAACGACAACGACTACGACGATATTTTTAAAGTTTCATTTCATTTCAGTAGTAGACTTCTTCGTACCAATGACGATGACGATGGCGATGACGATGACTACGGCAACGACGACGACGACGACGACAGCGACAGCAACGACGACTGGTTCGGCTTTGTACGGCATAACATGAAATTCTTGGCGTTTTCCTACTACGATTATGCATAAATTAACATACACATACGTACGCACATTCATATATTTTTATTTAAATATATGTAGAGAGTTTGATATATATGTATGAATGTGTTTATGAAAATTCAAGCTAAAAGCAAACAGACAGACATTGAATGCACATTCATACACACAAACGCACAAGCATACACGTGTATTAAAATACATATCAGTACATATTCACAAACTTATTCACATTATTATAACAAAAAATACGAACTTTGAAAGCATGTAAGAAAGTTTGTATTAATGTACGTATGTAAGCAACAATCTATGTATGTATGTATGTACATCAGCGCGTTTGTGTGTGCCATAAGCAAGTTTCAGTTTGAATTTTGAGTTCGTTCTCTGCTGTTGCGGTTGTTGTTGCCGTTGCTGCTATTACTTCTGTTGCTTCTTCTTCGTCTTCTTCTTCTTGTTGTACTTGTACTTGTTCGTTTTGTGTGCTTTAACGTCGACGTTTGCGCAGCAAAATTAAAGTAAATTTTTTAAAGTGGCGTTTACAAGGTTTAGTTTAAATTGCTTTAATAAATGAAAAGAGAATTTAAGAATTAAATGCATAAAGCATAGCGCATTGAGAAGCAGCGCAAGCATTGATATATTACACAATATACAATACGCATATGTGTTAGTGTGAGTGTGTTGGATACGTTCGCCGTAAATGTGTTACGGCGTTGTGTAGCGTAAATATAAAATTTTTTTTATTGTTATTTTTATTTTGGCAAGTTCACATTCTGCACATTAAATAAATAACAAAAAAAAAAATAAAATGCATACAACAGTAACAACAACAACAGCGACAACAAAAAAATTGTCATTAATATGCAACGCGCTGCTGCCAGAGCTGAAAAGTGTTGTTGGCGGTGAGAGAGGATTGAACGAAGAGGCGCTTATCGGTCATTTATATCGAAAGTACTTTCAACAGAAAGTGTGCTGTGCGACTATTTCGCAAAAAGCGGGCAGTGTCGATTTTCAACGCCAATTGCAGTTGCGTACCAATCTGAAAGAGCAAATAACGGTGAACGCAAATGATATATGGATTTTCGGTTATGGTTCCCTGATATGGAAGGCTGATTTTCCGTATATCGATCGACGACGCGGCTATATTAGCGGCTATCAAAGACGTTTCTATCAACATAGCATTGATCATCGCGGCACTCATACCAAACCCGGACGTGTAGTCACGCTCTTGCCCACAGCTGATAGCAATGATCGTGTTTATGGTGTAGCGTATCGCATCGCCGCACACATGACAGTCGATGTGCTGAGTCATTTGGATTATCGCGAGCAGAACGGCTACGAACGGTGCACGCTGAGTTTTCAAGAATTTCCTGAAGCCACTGGCGCTCAGTTCGATGTCATCATGTACATTGCGACGAAAGATAATGTATCGTACGCAGGTGATGTTTGGCAATTAACGCGTATTGCTGAGCAAATCTTCACCTCAGCTGGACCGAGCGGCACTAATCGTGAATATCTTTTCAATTTGGCGTTGGCTGTGCGGTTTATGTTTCCAGGCGTAAATGATGCGCATTTATTCGAGCTGGAAGCTGAAGTGTTGAAACTCATACAAAATGTTGAAGTTGTGACACTTGAAAAAGCATTGAGTAGGGAAATCTGTGACGTATTAGCGCAGATTGACGAGATTGCCAATGATGATGAGGGCAATAGTGCGCTTGAAATGGATAATACAATAGCAGAATTTCAAAAACTGGTAGAAAAGTGCACAGCAACAGGTTGGAAAGAGCATTTGTTGGCAAAGAAATTGGGTAGTAGATAACATCAGGGTTGAAGGAGAAAAGATAATAACTCGGTAAATGCAGTGAAAAATTCGTTCCATGATTGAATAATGCAATCAGTCTCATTAAAAAAAAGTTTTTAATAATATAATAATTTTTTTGCCTTGAAATTGTACGCGAAATATTTATATTTAAATTTTTATATTTATGTATGATCAGACAAAAATTCAATTAATTGAAATAATATATGTATAAAAAATAATATTTGTTGTTGCAGCTCACTACTGTTCGAAACTTCTTTATATTTCTTTAAAATATAACAAAAAATAATTTTATAATTTTTTTTTTGTTTTTGTTTATTTAATTTATACGCAAAGTATTCGGAAATAGAATATTATAATATATTCATTTTTTCTTTAAAATATGATTAAAGTAGTCCGAAATATTTATATGAAAATATTTTTTTTTAAATTCTAACAAAAAAGTATTTTATAATAAAATAATTTTTTTTTGGATAAGAGTATATATTATAGTGCATTATTTTTTTTGCAATAGGTCTACAGTAGTCCGAAATATTTGTATTAAAATATTTTTTTTGCAATATAAACAAAGAAGTATTTTATAATGCAATACATTTTTTTGGGTACGAGTATATTATAATATATTATTTCTTTTTATTACAATATGTCTAAAGTAGTCGGTAACATTTGTATTAAAATATTTTTTTTAATATATAAACAAAGAGTTATTTTATAATAAAATGATTTTTTTTTATATATACATATTTGTGTATTATAATATAAAATAAAAATAATAATAATAAAAAAAATTAAATAATAAATATTTGCATTGAAATATTTTTTTTTAAATATTACAAAAATAATTTAAATATTAAAATATATAAAAAAAAGTATTTTATAATATAATAATTTTAAATTTGTTTTTTTTGTTTTGTAATATATAGACTAAAGATAGTCTACGAAGTATTCCAAAAATTTATATTAAAATATATTTTGTTTTTTATATTTAAACGAAAATTTTACCAATAATTTAGTAATACCTATTAATAATTTGAGTTGGTTTTTAACCGATCTTAATCCCGGCTAAATTAAATTTTAATAAAATTTATGTCAGAAATATTAATTAAATATTAAAAATAATATAATAATATTATTTTAAAGAACTAAAGTACAAAAAAATGGAATCGCTAAAAAATTAATTGGTATGTGTATAATAATTAATAATAATTAAAATTAATAACCCAGTTCTATTTGTATTCATACTAATTTATTACTAATTATAAAGTTAGTACTGCAAATTATCTCATTGTTTATGAAAGTGACATTAAATCGCTATAAAAATTGACAAAATATACTCGTACATACATAATATTGTAATGAATACATATGTATAAAAATATTTATGACTCTACTAAACAATAATAAATAAAAATATAACTGCCTTGTTTCTAATGAAATCTAATTTATTTATGGTTTCCATTTTTTTTTGATGTCTGAAATTACTTTTTCATTTTATATACTACAGAAATCTATTAGCTACTAGTAACACCCCATCTAATGGAATACATTGATTCAGTGTGTGAATTAGCATGTGAGATCGTAACCTAAAATAAAACTAACTTCTCCAATTGGGTATATAATAATGAATAATGGATAATGGAAATAATTGATGTTAGATCTTACTGAACTCTATTCATTTTACTCTATATTTAGATTTAAATAGTAAAATAATGCAGCCATTCCAACTGCTTTTATTAAAAATCAGTAAGAGACCTACTGGTTATCTTATGACTTTGAACAATATAAATTCTAGGTTATTTTCAGTAATCGTACATTGGTTACACTGTCTGTGGCAAACATATCCTTCATCTTTATATTATCAGCAAAACTTTGTCATCCTTTTGTTTAGAAGAAAATGTTACTATGGAACATATAATTGATTCTTGCCTGAATTACTTCACAACTAAGAAAGTTTTACTAAAGCATTAAATCTGTGCTTCTTTCTTTTTTAATTATTCACCTTTCTTTTTGCAATGAAATAAGACTCTAAGAGCAATAGAAGACCGAATTAACCTATGCCTCATTATCATGGTGGGGCATAGGCAGATCAAGCTCGGACTCAAATGTTACTGAACAAAACTCAAAGAACAGTCTGCTTAAGTGTCATAGGAGCGATTAGAACGTGCCCAACAGCTGCCTTAGGAAGGATTATAGAATTCGACCCTCCTAACCTTGCGGTCATGAGAACGGTAGGCTGTACATTACAAAGGATATCCAATTCACATCAATTTAAAAAAGGCAACCTAACGAGACATAAGAAGATCCTGGAAATTTTCTGGAATTCATCGTTACTCACGGTTTCCTATAAGATGGATAAGAAATTTTGTTTCTTCAGACACTTCAAAGTGGAAACAACAAAGTAGATTTTGTACAGGGCTCACAGGAATTGTATGGTCAAATTTCCAGAAGGCAGTAGCAATGGGTCAAGTGACTTCCATTTTTCAGGCGGAGGTTAATGTTAATGAAATCTATATCTAAACGTTATTCTCTTCATTCTATTGTCTATATTGCACTCAATACATTGAAATATATTATATATTTTATGTTGATGAAAACAATAAAATAATGAAAACATAAATATTTTAGTTATGGCTTTATAAATTCTTAGTTCAAATCATTTGGATTTTTTGGTATGTAAGATAATTTATAGCTCTATTAGATTTCATTATTTTTGCTCTTTATATTTCAACTTATCATTACCTATCGTTTATTCAAATAGTACTTTTAACAGAAAGTCAATTTCTGTTTCTGTAAAATATATTATGCGTTTATATTTTACCTTCTGGTATTATTGTGTTGAATATTATTTTGAATTTAGAATAAAATTTCTTGGTAAGACCGGCTATGTCCTACCAAGAAATCTATTAAATTTTTCTCATAATCCGTACAAACTAAAACATACATCCGAGTCTAACCTGTTTACGCAAGTAATTGTCTATCCATAGGCCTATAACGAGTAAAGCCCTTTGGCTTTCAACTAGTACTCCTGCAGTATATAAGCGCATTACAATCTGAGATTATTTTGTGATTATGTTTTTCTTGCGTATAACAAATGAACTCTTTTGTTCGATTAAATACTTTAACTGCCCCTTTGAAACTTCCTACAGAATCAAAACAGGAAATGCCTTGAATGTCCTTGCTTGCGATACGAAATGCATTCACTCGTTTCAATGGAGTGACAGCAGATACAAATGCGGATACTTGTGTGCACTTAAAAAATTCCGATGAAATTTTGCTGTAAATTGTTTGAGTGCATAAGTGTGCATTGAAATGGACGAGACATCCTTTTTTATAATGCTTATTCTTACTCTTCCTAGAAGCAATTTAAAAGTATTTAATTTATTATAACGAAAAGTGGATAGTTCAACATTTGAATACGAATGACATATTCAGACAATATACTGACATCCAAGGGATGCGAACAATTTCTAACTTCAAAGAATAAATATATTTAAATATTTATTAATGACTTTTATTTGGAAAATGTCCTTTAATCAAAATAGAATAGAAAAAAATGAGTGGGGAATATATTTATATAGAAATAGAAAAAAAATGTATATGCCAAATGTTTACTTATTTGATCAAAAGGTGGATAAATCAAAGGAATATTTTTTTTTTTAATTTAGCCTTTATAAAATGTTAAAACTCGAAAAAATGTCCTTAAATTGAAGAGGGAAAAAAGAAAGTTAAATTTAACTAAATCATGGAAATTCCCAAGTGAAACGCACCATTTGGAATATAAAAAGAAATTCTCACGCAAAAATAGAGTTGCCAATATTGTACAAAATAAATTAGTGTGAAGTATTTCTTATACTCGAAGATGTAAAAGACTATGTTTAGAAATATTCTTGCAAAGATCTAAGGTCCCTTACGCGTTGGCGACGAGTATTGAAGTAGGTGAAACGATGAGCTGTATGAGCTATACCGCGACATTGACATGTCGCGCGGCTTGGTTATGTCGTGCGAATGGAAGAAAGTACAGTGTTTAAATCAGTACCCACAGGTCGAAAACGCGGTAGAGGGTGTCCACATCTTTGGTGGAAGGACCAGGTGATAAATTATTTGAGGGCACTCGGTATTACTAACTGGCGACAGCAAGCAACTGATCGGGCTGGTTGGCGAAGGCTGCTCGACGCGACCAAGGACGACTTACGTCTGTAATATCCAATTAAGTACTAATTATAAGAATAGATATTTTTTATGTCTATTTTGGGATTATGATTTTATTATTATTATTGTGTAAATTTATATAGTATATTATATGTTATACCATAAGATATCACCATCTATTAGTAATTTACGAAATATGCATATATTTGAATCGATATATTAGCATTATATAGTTTAAAGACGATTTTATTCGAAAACTGGTTACTTCAAAGCATCGAAATCTAGTGTTGCTATCAGTGATTTTCGATATATATACATATTTTTTTATCAATTTTCTCTATAAGATGTTTTATTAGTAGATAATTTTTCTAATTTACCTGCCAAAGGGGAGTAATTTAGAAACTAAAAAGAAAGAGTAAAAGAAGTGCATAAATTGGCACTTGTCATCTAGCGTCAGTCAAAGCTTCCTCAAGAATTGGTGCGCCGAGTAATATAATAATAGTGTATTAAACAATTAGTAGTGATGATTTAAAATATTTTTGAGTTATTGGCAACTCTACTCTTTATAATTCTTTAATATCATTTGTATGCATATGTAGCCGTATATCTTATAGAGGATAGCTGAAAACTTGGCCAAACTTTCCCCCTGAAATTACTTTACTCTACCTTAGAGTTTGTAGTTAGTTTCTTATTGCAATTTACCCTTCACTACCCTTGTTCTTAAGTTTGAAAATATTTTTGCACTTTTTGCTTTTTTTCTTTGCCAGAATGAAAAATTGCTCAGTCGGGAATTTGATTTTAACATGCGAAATGAATCCTACAACGACAACATAAACAAAACCGGAGGCAAACTCAATGTTAAGGCAATGGCAGAGCCAGAGGACCATAAGGTACAAGGAATAACGTCACACGCACACGCTTACTAAGCGGGGGATGCGTTTGCACAGCTGTGAACAGTTTCCGTAGCGGCAATAATAAGAAATA